GTGTGGCCAGCAGGACGAGGGAGGTTCTCCTTCCCCTCTACACTGCCCTGGTGAGGCCTCATCTGGAGTACTGTGTCCAGTTCTGGGCTCCCCAGTTCAAGAAAGATGAAGAGCTACTGGAGAGAGTCCAACGGAGGGCTACAAGGATGATGAGGGGACTGGAACATCTCCCCTACGAGGACAGGCTGAGCGAGCTGGGCTTGTTCAGCCTGAAGAAGAGAAGGCTGAGAGGGGACCTAATAAATGCTTATAAATATCTGAAGGGTGGGTGTCAGGAGGATGGGGCCAAGCTCTTTTCAGTGGTGCCCAGTGACAGGACAAGGGGCAATGGGCACAAACTGGGGCACAGGAAGTTCCGTCTGAACATGAGGAAGAACTTCTTCCCTCTGAGGGTGACGGAGCACTGGAACAGGCTGCCCAGAGAGGTTGTGGAGTCTCCTTCTCTAGAGATATTCAAGACCCGCCTGGACAAGGTCCTGTGCAGCCTGCTGTAGGTGACCCTGCTTCGGCAGGAGGGTTGGACTAGATGACCCACAGAGGTCCCTTCCAACCCCTACCATTCTGTGATTCTGTGATCCACCAGCCTTGGGTTTTCACAGCAACCTTTGTTACAGTGCAGAAATCGGTTTTGTGCCTCTCCAATACCCAGCAACCGCTTTAAACGAAGTTCATAAGTACTTAATAGCTTTGAACGCTCTTCTCCCTTTCAGATGTGGTTGAAGTTCAGCAAAAAGCTTCAAGGAGTTTTTATGAGGAAGGACTAGAGAAACAAGGTAACCAGATACACTTTGGATTCTTAAAAACAAGACTAAAAACAAACAATAGAGACAAAGCATGCAATGCCAAGTAGCTTTCCGCAAGCACTTTCCTTTTGCTTTGTTTAATTATGCCCTCCTGTTCACTCCTCCCAGGGAAATATACCTAGAAACAAAACAAAAATCTCACAGCCCCTGTGAAAACTGGGTGTCCTCTATTACAGGGTGGGATGCAGCTCACCTACACCTCTGCCATGTTTGTACTGAAGTCCAACTAAATCCCCAAACATGAGCAGTCTGCCCACTTTCCAGAGCTGCTTAATTGTTTGAGGTGACTCCCTCTGGCCAAGCACACCAGCTCCACTTTCCCATCTCGCCTTCCTTTTTATTTTTTTTTCACAGAATGGTAGGGGTTGGAAGGGACCTCTGTGGGTCATCTAGTCCAACCCTCCTGCCGAAGCAGGGTCACCTACAGCAGGCTGCACAGGACCTTGTCCAGGTGGGTCTTGAATATCTCCAGAGAAGAAGACTCCACCGCCTCCCTGGGCAGCCTGTGCCAGGGCTCCATCATCCTCAGAGGGAAGAAGTTCTTCCTCATGTTCAGACAGAACTTCCTGTGCTTCAGTTTGTGCCCATTGCCCTGTGTCCTGTCGCTAGGCGTTACTGAAAAGAGTTTGGCCCCATCCTCCTGACACTCACCCTTAAGATATTTGTAAGCATTTATAAGGTCCCCTCGTAGCCTTCTCTTCTTCTGGGACAGAGAGAGACACAAGTTACCTATGAGACTGCGACAGAGAGAGACTGTGAACTTCAGTGGATCGATTTGCCCTTTGGAGACAGAGAGCTTTCATCCCACCAACAGTGAGAGGAAGGCATTGACAGTGTGGGCTGAACGCATGCCCTGTTACTGTTCGCTGCCTCCCCCGAAGCCGAAGGGTAGACTTCAGGTGGCCTGGACTGGCCAACAGCAGGAAGGCGACCAGATGAGGGCCCATCAGTGCATCGGGCACAGTACTGAACGACGTAAAAACTAAGCCTTTCTCACAAGAATGTCCTTTCTTCTCAATTATGTATTTCCCACGAAACAGATTTGCCTTCTATCCTACACTTACTCTTTTTTAAAGAGAATGGAGACAGAAGTCCTGTGAGAACTATTATTTAGCGGGAGTTGTCATGAGCAAACTGCTGAAACTGGGCAGCTAATGTACACCCCTCAGTCGCAAACCAAAATTAAAACCCTGCACAGCTGGAAATAAGTCATTGCCCTATGGAACTGCACCTGTAACTGTCCTCCAGCACATAAAAATCTCCACCTTTCAGACTTCTAAGAAATAAAAAAATGTCTGAATTCCCTGCTGCCTGGAGAACTCTCAGTGAAATCATCAGTAGTTCTAATTGCTGTTAAAATACTACTAATATCTTGCAGCTTTAGTTACTGAAAACAATCTTTGTACCAGCTGCACAACTTCAAACTAGTCTGAAAACTGAAAACAAAATGCGCACAGCAAAGGAATAAGAACCATACGAACCACACCTATTGCACAAAACTGTTCTTTAACATCCCTCTAAGCAGTAAGCTTAAAAACTTCACCAGCTAAGCCCAGTTCCTCACAAGCTTCGTATTGCTATAAAATATCACAGAATTCAGCCTATCAGTTTCAACTTGACTTGTTTCCTAAATATCCCAGAAGTTTCTTAATGCCCTAATTACAGCTAAAATTAAGGGTAAGGCATTTTATGTCCTCAATTCAGAGTACTTTCATTTCAAATTAATACAAAATTTCTCAGGGGAAGGTGCAAATATATTCAACATTAACAAGCATTAGATCAATACTTTTTTTCTTCCTTTAAATTCCATCCTTTTTTAGTTAAAGTACGTAAGTGCTGCCTGCAAGAAGGTGGCAAGTATAGTGAGGGAGGGATCGCTTCTTATTTGCTTGGTGGAGGACGAACAGCGACAGCAAACCAGGCATTTGCTGCCCTTCTCTCCTGTTGACAGAGGGACCTTTAGCTCTGACAGTATGTCAGTCTACCTACTGGAGCAGGGTCTGGTAAGAGACAAGGAGCACTACATATCAAGGTTTCGCAGAAACACACGGAGATTAAAGACTGTTACTGGTACAGAACTCCACAGCAGGAGAACATGAAAGCTACACTTTTCTGTATCACAACATGGACTTTTTCCTTCCGGTTACTTCCACAATTATAAGAGGATGCACAGGTTGCAGAATGGGCATTCAGGAGGTCCTCAAGGTTCTCTGAGATGGAGACTGCAGTCCCTAGGGATGTGATTCTTCAGCAAGTCCTGAAGTTGCATAAAAAATTAATGGTAATAAAATGCCCATTGCCAAGACTGAATTCAAACATTATTTCGTAAGTGAGAACTTGCATGCTCTTTACAAATTACATTGAGATTCCATGAATACTAGTATTTGAGCTAACACAGAGAGATGACAGTCCTACACAAGTGAGTATTTGAAAACCATCTTTTTACAAAATATAAAATGCAAGTACATGAAAAATTGTTTGAATTCATTCAAAAGTCAAATAGAGTAAACCTTAAATGCTTCATTAAGCCCTGGCATTTGATACAGGTAGAGTTAGCACAAGCAGAGCAACTACAAAATTACATTGCTTTTAAAATTGGAAATACACAATGCAAATACGTGAAATATTGTTTGAACTCATTCATAGATCGCGTTAGTTATAGTAAATCCTAAATTAAATATAAAAATTTTGCCAGACATTTTCACTGCCCATTTTCTGATGAAAAGAGGTA